AAAAACCGCAAGTCCGATTGCTTTGATATTACATATATAGGTACTACATGTGGACCTCTCTCAGATTTGTTCATTTTGTGATGATATCTTCAATTCTCTAATTTTGGTGAATATTTTTGTCATTTTTGGTAAAAAGTGATATTTTCGACTTCTTGTTGAAAACTGTAAGTCCGATTGCTTTGATACTATTCATATTGTTCATTTTCTAATGATGTCTTCAGTTCTTTAATTGAAATGTGCATTGCTAACAGCGGAGCTATCTCAGCCGATAGGCTGCTTGTTTACACTTGTAATACTACATATGGCTTAAAAATACCCTGGCTTTTATTAGCTCCGCTGTCGACTTTGTCGAGCGGAGCTTATCATATCATATGATTGTCCGTCGTCGTCGTCCGTCGTCGTCGTCGTCCGTGTCAATGTTTTACTTTTTCGACTTCTTCTTGAAAACTACAAGCCTAAATGCTTTGATACTTGGTGTATATGTACCTTGGGTAGACCTCTCTTAGGTTTGTTCATTTCATGTTGATATCTTTAATTCTCTAATTTTGGTGAATATTTTTATAATTTTTGGTAAAAAGTGATATTTTCGACTTCTTGTTAAAAACCGCAAGTGCAATTGCTTTGATATTACATATATAGGTACTACATGTGGACCTCTCTCAGATTTGTTCATTTTGTAATGATATCTTTAATTCTCTATTTTTGGTGAATATTTTTGTCATTTTTTGGTGAAAAGTGATATTTTTGACTTCTTGTTAAAAACCGCAAGTCCGATTGCTTTGATATTACATATATAGGTCTACATGTGGACCTCTCTCAGATTTGTTCGTTTTGTGATGATGTCTTCAATTCTCTAATTAATTTATTTTGGTGAATATTTTTGTAATTTTTGGTAAAAAGTGATATTTTCGACTTCTTGTTAAAAACTGCAAGTCTGATTGCTTTGATACTATTCATATTGTTCATTTTCTAATGATGTCTTCAGTTCTTTAATTGAAATGTGCATTGCTAACAGCGGAGCTATCTCAGCCGATAGGCTGCTTGTTTTCAGTTAAATTTACTAAATTAACATGTACCAAAATCAGTGGGTGGGGATTCTGCAAGCAAATGTGTCATAAATACATCATAAACCAGTGAATTTTCAAACAGTGAATCAACATCAAATCCAGACAAGACTAAATGCGATGAATATTTGCTCTTCTACAGTGAAAACGTAAGGGTCCATATCATATCAAATGTCTTGATGTGATGATTACTAGTGTTGATAAACTTTTGATTTGTTTCTACAGAGAGATGATGACAGAGACTTTGAACGCCGTGGTGGTAGAGGTGATTATGGCCCAAGAATGGGTGGACCTCCAGGAGGTGGTGGTGGTTTTGAGGTACATAGTTTCGACTACTCCGTGTTTTACATAATTTTCTACATGGCTTTATTTTTGAGTCTCCTATATTTCAAGAGTCTCATAACCTCCACTGTGCTTCAACTGTTATTTGTATTATACTTGTGTACACAAGTGAATAAGTGCATTATTATACAAATTGGACGCTATACTTTTGTCTTAACCTGTGGAGAACACTGCAGCTACAACACTGACTCCTCAGAGTAGCCAAAGTTGTAATAATAAAAGGAGTAGCATTTAAAACTAGAGCCCATCCATCCTACTCTTAACTTAGAATACTTCATTTTGAAACAAATATCTGCTGAGGATATTGACCTAAAACAAGTTTATTTTTTGAGCAAATGATTTTAGTACGTTATTGTATAGTGGAAATTTTGTAGACCCATGGCTACAATTTAGCACCAGTGCTATACTATGTTTTGAATTGTGAGTTTTAAAAAGTGTAATTTTTCGTAAGATATGCTCACTAGAATTGTTCTCAAAAAAAATTATTGTAAAACAATGTTATTTCATGTTATTATGGAACTTTATAGTTATTTTTAACTATAAATCATAAACCAGTGAATATTGTCAGGTTATTTATTCATTGCAAACTTTCTCAAATTAAGTATTCTTCTACCTCAACAGTTTAGCTTTAATGTTTGAAAATAAACCGTTTCTTCCTTACATATAGATGCTTGTACCAAGGTTTGCTGTTGGAATTGTGATTGGACGTGGTGGAGACATGATCAAGAAAATACAGAATGAAACTGGTGCAAGAATACAATTCAGACCAGGTGATGATTTTAAATTAAATTAGATCAGAGCTCAATTTGTGCTACATCTTACCCTGTTATACAGTAATAGGCAACAAGCGTTTGTATTGTTACTTTACAGATGATGGTCACAGTCCTGAACGTCTTGCTGTTATTTCTGGATCAGATGATAAAATAGATCATGCCAGAGAGAAGATAGATGAGCTGATAGATAGTGCTCGTGTAAGTTGCCTCCTGAAATTACCTATTGATAGCCATCATCAAAATTACCCATTTATCTGACACTCATTTGGGTACAAAGGCATGACAATGGTTTACTTTATTTTTGGTGACATTCAGCACAAAAACAGCCACTTGTGTTCCTCATCCACCAAAAACTGACTGGTAGCAATTTTCTTTTATTTTTTTCGACTTAGATGTGCAATGTATTCTTTGCAGTTGTCTCATATTTGTACCACTCATTTCACAAGAATCACTGACCTGATTAAATTGTGAATATTATCTAATTTTTCTAAAAATGTTACTGATGTCTTGAAAACTATTCAACTTAATTCAATGTTACTTAATATATAGGTGTTCTGTGATATTGTCTGGTTTTGTGAGTTTATTGATGAAATCTGCGCTGATTACCAAATTTACAGTTTTCACAAAAAAACTCTAAATCCCGTAGTCGGATTTCCTTAAAACTTATTAAACAGATACTAAGACACACAGGTAGCACAATCTGTGCGTCTGTTTGTTTGTCTGTATTTAGCCATATCTCGCACATGCTTGAGCCAATTGTGTTCAAACTTCACACAGACATCCTATCAGACAAACTCGCATGTGCACTTTTTGGCTGACTGGCGGCCATGTTTAAACAATTTGCACTTCCTTGGATCCATATCTCGTACGTCTGGTTCATTTAAGTTTAACCTCTTGCATACATCGCACATTATGTAATGGATGCATAAAAGTTCTTTCTATGCTTCCTTTGATTATTTGTTATATTGAAGGCTTTACATATCGTATAATATCTTGTATTCATAAAAGTTTATCTGTTTGAATATGTATAGCAAAAAGATGAACAGCGTCGTCAAGGTGGTGGAAGAGATCGTGGGTTTGGTCCACCACCCCATAGGGAAGGTGGACGAGGGGGCGGAGGTGGCGGCTTCCGTGGAGGTCCTCCAGACAGAATGGATTCTACTACATTTACTGTACCTTCCAGTAAATGTGGACTTGTTATTGGGAAAGGTAAGAGAGTACAGCTGTGAACTCCTTCAGTTATGTTGTGCTATATTATATCTCAATGCAAAGTGCGTGTATTCAAAAGTGAGGAAGTAAAAAGCGAGAACTTATAAATATTCATTTTTTTTACTGTATGTAAGTGAATAAAATAGGAACAAATGGTACTAGCTCAGCTCAGAAATTATGAATATGTGACATGCATTTTTTTGCAAAACAAGTAGTTTGGTGATCTGTTTATTCTGGTTGTTTGAACTATAGCATTGGAATGTTTGATTTCAGGTGGTGAGACTATTCGTAACATCAACATGCAGTCAGGTGCCCATGTAGAACTAAGTCGTAATCTTGGTCCACCTGGTGAGAAGGTCTTCACTATTCGAGGATCACCACAACAAATATCATGCGCTCAACAACTCATCCATGAAAAAGTCAGTGGGGTAAGTTGAAAATAGCACTTCGTACATCTTGTCTAAAATACAATTATACTGTAGTCTTGTCAGTATTATATACATCACACATGCCTGTAATAGAATTGTACTATTCTAACATGATAGACCAGCATTGCTAATTTGCAAACAAGTATTTTGATTTTCAGGCTTGCTTTCAATGTCGTTTTAAATGGATACCTTATTTTTGATTGGACATTTATGGTTCTAGCTATGTAATCTTAAATAAATCTGTACCATGGGTATTTCTATGTGGCGCATCTCACAGACTTGAACAAAATGAATTGGCTCTTGCTTTGAAAGACAAGGCAAAAAAAGAACAAAATCGATTTAGCAATCACCTTTGATGTGTTGATTGTTTTATTAAAGCAAATATGTGAAATATTAATACAAACTATTCTCTTCTTTTGAATACACAGGGACCTGGAGGTCCTGGTGGTCCAGGTGGGCCTGGTGGCCCAGGAGGACCTGGTGGACCGGGTCCCGGAGGTCCACATGGTGGACATGGTCATGGTGGTCCTGGTGGACCCCCTGGTGGTCAGGGAGGTCCAGGTGGTCCAGGCGGACCAGGTGGTTTCAATCAAGCACCACCACAAGGGTAAGTTGTCAGTTCTAATCTAAAACTTAACATGTCTGCACTTTGCTAGAACCCGGTATTGAGGCTATTTGTAGTCTATGATTACTGGGCGTACAATTGGTGCTATATTATTCACAGCAAGTTATTCGCTAACACCATCTGATGTTTCATGGATGGAGTTTGATAGTAGGGCTTGCTACACTACATAGTTTGATAATATGTACATATTCATTATTGGTTGCTGTCTAGCTGCATATGTTACTGTTTTATAAGATTGTTTCATTTGAGTTGAGTGTATGACTTTTAACCTTTATTACAGGGGACCAGGAGGTCAAGGGGGCCCACCTCCACCTCAAGCATTTACACCACAGGGCTGGGGCAATGCCTATCAGCAATGGCAGCAACATGTAAGTTAAGTCTATAAATGTTTAGTAATAATTACTGTCAACTGTTGTACTCGGGTTAACTTTTACTCAAGTCTGTATGACCAGATGTCTGACTTCAGTGGAGTATTTAAATTTAATGGTTTACTAATTAATGTTGGTTTGCACTTTGCTAGAACCTGGTATTGAGGCTATTTGTAGTTGATGATTACTGGGCGTACAATTGGTGCTATATTATTCACAGCAAGTTATTCGCTAACACCATCTGCTTTTCCATGGATGGAGTTTGATAGTAGGGCTTGCTACAAAGTGGATTAATCCAGTGTTTCATGTGGTGATTCATTTTCATACTAAGAGCCTAATTTACATCTGATAATTAAGATTCTTTTTTAAATTAGCGCGTGTGTGTGCGGACCTATATTTTAGACATCTGTGTTCTCCCCAGGTTACAAATAGCGTGGTGGTACCACTATGCTAACTGCCGTGCTTAAAATCATTACCGCTATGCTTGGTTTCTGCACCTTTACTATTGTCTGATTTCCACAGCTATTGTTCTATGAGACGCTTCCTCGCTGTTCTTTTCAACCAACGGAAATCAGAAGGATGCTGAGTTTATTTGGGTCGGCATGTACTTGTTGCAAGTTATAGTCTATTTACGTAATTCACTGATCACGCCACAGGCAATGTCAACAATAAAACGTTTGAAGAAAAGATTATCCCAATGTCGAAAATAAATCTTAAAATACCGTAATTGAAAATTGGAAAGAATGTTGAACATGCTCTTTCATTGTAACTAGATTATTGAATCGATAAAACAGCACACATTCAAGCATAATATTTTACATTAAACTAGTCAAAATGTCTATTTAGCAAAAATTGATTCTATCTAAAAGTATTAGTCTTTCACATATGCACTATCATAAGTGAGCTGTGCGAGATGTTGAGTGTTATCGACTCTATGGATAGGATACTAAATTGTGTTGCTTTTTGCTATTACCAGAATCCACAAGACCCAAGTAAAGCTGCAGCTGATGCCAATGCTGCTGCATGGGCTGCCTATTATCAACAGTACTACCAACAACAAAATCAACCTAACAGTCAACAACAGAATCAGCCATCAAACCAACAGTCTCAGCAACAACAGAGTCCGCAACAGCAACAGCCACCACAGTCATCTACATCTAGCAGTACGACGGCGCCGGGTACTGGTGGTAGTGGTGCTGGTGGAGGAGGCAGCAGTGGAAGTGGTAGTAACTCACAAAGTCAGAACCCAGGTGACTGCATTAAGAATGTTTACACCACATGTTGGCGAGTGAATGAATTGCTACAATAACTGACACAATGCTGTAGCTCATTTACTAACAAAACGCTTGCCTCAATAAATGAAATTCCATACTTACTGATGCATTGTGGGGGTTCATTGACAGTATTCGTTTGTGCAAACTAATTTATGATTTCAGTTCATAATTTTGAGTCGATGAAAACTGAACTAATTTGTGCTGTGCACCTACATAAACATTGATGTGCAATGTTTCTCGACAACGTCAAATAACTATTTAAATTGTTGGCTTCTTAGCATTGTGAGAGTGGCTTATGCTTGCTTTGTGGCTTAATACTGTCTACTCAGATGTGAAAACCATTCAAACAACTTTACTAAAAAAGACAAACCATCATAGTGTGCAATAAGAACAATAACATTATTCAGTTTCCTACTATACTTTTATGGTTGCATAGGCACTGCCATAAGTAATAGAATAGTGAGCACCTGGATGCCTTACAGTCGGTACCTGTTTATGAACTGCTATCTCCCCTAGGATATTGCAATCCAAACCAGTTAAAGCTCCTGTACACAACCATTTTCACAATTTACCAATGTATAAGGAAGTTGTATACAATATAAACTGTTTTAAATTTTCAGTTTTACCCACATACAATGCATGTCATGTTGAAAAGGAACTGTACATAGTGACTGAATATTATGAGATGTTTGAATTGTCTCGTCCGTATTCAAATCATGTGACATGTTTATTAACACAAGAATTCCAATGGAAATCTTTTACATTTGAGTAGTGGGGAATAGCAGTTTTCATGATCAGTTCTGGGTGCCCTCTGTAAAGTGTTGATTTTAGTTGCACAAGGGTACTGACTGAGCCCCAGAATGCCTAGTGTAATGTTTGGAGCATAAATAGTTCAGTGTTATTACAGCATGGGTAATTTGACTATCATCGTGTTTGTAGCATGGGTAATTTGACTATCATCGGTGTTTGTAGCATGGGTAATTCAGCTTTCAACACTGATTAATGGTGCTTTTACTCATGTTTGCATTTACAGGTGTGACTTCAACTGCAGGCCCCAATGGTCAGGCTGATTACAGTGCAGCATGGGCTGAATATCTTAAATCATTAGGCATGTCTGCTTTATGTACAATATTGTGCTTCATCCTGTGTGTAATGGTCAATCTTCAGCATTTCAGTTCAAGTTAAGCAGAATACTATTCCCGGATGTACTCTCAGTAATATTTAGCAATAATCTTGCCGTTCTTCAACAGGTTCCCAAGCACCAAAGGGCGATGGTCAACCAGATTATTCAGCTGCATGGGCAGAGTACTACCGTCAACAAGGTGAGCCATTAAGGGAATAAAGTGTGATGCACTGTCGCCACTATCAAAATTAGGTTATGATTTCATAGCTTTACATTATCACACGATAATGTAAATGAGCATTCACAAGTAAATAGTCCCCGTTCGGAAGCAGTCTGAAAATGAGGACTTGTGTTTCGACCCTTGTAATCAAACTTCACACATACATCATACATGATATTATACATATGCTCAGCAATTTGTTTCACCATCTGATTCAAGATGGCCGAATGGCAGCCATTTTTGTGCTACAAAATCAAGCATTTCTCGGCTGTTTACATATGGATTTTGTTCAAACTTATTACATACATTAGACATTATGGGACCTTGATGCAAACAATTTTATTTTTCAGATGGGATTCAAAATGGCTGACTGGCGGCCATTTTCTTTTAATGAATGGGCTTCTAGACCCATATCTCTGACTTGCTTTGACTGATTATGTTCGAATTTGTAATATCCATTATACATCATGTCATAGATAAACAGATATATTGGTTTGACGATCCTATTCAAAATAGCCGAATGGTGGTAATTTTCGTGCTAAAAAATCATCAAATCATTTCTAGCATTTCTGGATGGATTTTGTTCAAACTTGGTATATACATTAGACATTACGGGTTCCTGATGCACATCATTTTATTTCTCAGATCGGATTCTAAATGGCTGACTGGTGGTCATTTTGTTTTTATGATTGGGCTACTAGAGCCATATATCTGACTTGCTTTGACTATGTTCAAATTTTATATATTAATTATACATGTTATAGATATAAACATTATTCAAATTGGCTGATTTTGTTTTAATTAATGCTGTTCTAGAGCAATATCTCCCCAATATGGACAAGTACTTGTTCGACGATCAGATACAAATGTCAATCATTTTAATGTTAAACAATAATCATATTCATGATTTATATTCAAGCTATATTACTATAAACAAAACTATATATCTTAAATTTGATAACTAACCGGGACTGCGCCATGCATGGCTTGTTTCAATTAAAACTAAATTTATTTATTTTGATGGTCATGATTTATAACACTGAATCCCAACATAAGAGTGAAGGATCTAGATGCAATACCGCATTATCTTGCCATGATCATCCCTCATTCAATATGGCACTGTGGGGGAATTGTTTAATTTGATTTAACAAAAAAAATACCTCAAGTGAAAGAGTTCCCTTAGAAGTACTGTTAATGCTGTACAGCAGCCGACCAAAAAATATGAAATATCTGGTCGCTGTTTTTGACTCCCATGTGCGAAGCACAAAATGGGAGTCTTTGCAGTTAGTGTGTCTGTATGTGTGTCTGTATGTATGTGTGTCTGTATGTGTGTGTGTGTGTGTGTGTGTGTGTGTCCGACTGTTCCACTGCTATCTCAAGAACCATACATCGGTTTTTGATGAAACTTGGTGCATAGATGCTCTGGGCCAATGCGCAGATTGATTAGGT